AAAAAAAATCAAACAAACCCCGAACAAAAAAGAGACAGGCAGAATGGGCAGGTCTCCACAGCCAAGGAGAATGCTATCAAAGCCCTGGGCTTCTGTAAAATGCATTGTATATGCCCCCCCCCCCCCCCCAGACTATGCAATGTGAACAGACATGGGCACAGATACCCCGCCAGAGTAGGAAGGCACAAGACCGCGCAGAAGATCTTGTGGTAGCGTGAGCGTGAGCTATTACTGCACTGAACAGTTCAGAAGCATCAAAATGTGTCACCTTTGCAAAATCAGCAGGCCTTCGAGTTTTGCGGAAGCGGGGGGGGTTCATAGATATCAGTAGGCATAAACTACTTTGGGAACCTAGCCTGCTCTTTGTTAGAGCCTTCTGACGAAGTCCTTTGTTGTCGGTCTGTGGTCCCACAGCCGCAATGCAGTGCCGCTCCGCCTGAGCCAGCTTTTCTCTCCTAATGACTCTTTATTATATCACCTGACTGTGAAGATGTGATAAACTAATATAATCCTCTACACGGTACACACGGCATGGTACATGGGAAACCGCATCGTTTCTTGAACGATGAGGATTTCTGAATGCTACAATAAATGCCCAGAGCTTTTCTGAATAGATATATTTATTCTGTTCTGTAGGTGCAGAGCAACAGTTAATCGTTGGCGGACCAGTTTCTTCTTCTGCCCCCGCCCAAGATGTCAGGCCAAAGGACAAAGCTGTTAGTGCCAGCACGTTCCACAGGTTCCAGCAGGAGCTGCCCCCCTCTGAGCTTTTGGGCTCCAAATTAAGACATGTTAAGGTTCAAGCTGCTTTGCAGCCCTTGACTGAACCTGCAAAGACTGAACCGCAGAGCAGCTACTTCATCGACAAAGGAACTCAGACAAAGAAGTCCAGCAAGAGCGGGCAGTCGAGGCACAAAGCCCCGCACCACGCTGGGGCCCATCAGAGCCAGGAGCAGCAGCCCCCTGCCCTGCCTGCGGGACAGCCGCCGGCCCCCCCGCTCAGAGACACCTCCCAGGCCCTGGAGATAACACAGTACTTCTTTGAGGCCGTTTCCACCCAGATGGAGAAGTGGTACGAACGGAAAATAGAAGAAGCCCGGTGCCAAGCTAACCAGAAAGCGCAGCAAGACAAAGCTGCGCTCAAGGAGCATATTAAAAGCTTAGAAGAGGAGCTCAGCAAATTAAGGACTAAGGTGCAGAAGGAGAGCTAGCATCTGCCAAGCAGGTAAAAGCAAGCAACGGGACTCGTTTTGGAACCTGCTGTATGGGAATCGGGAATAGTGATCGATAGAAATATTTGTAGTGCCTGTTACATCCAAACAAAATGCTCTTTTTCAGTAGAAATAACTTTGGGAACTCCAGAACCGAGGAGAATTCATATGCAGACTGTACCGACGACAACGAGATGCTGCAGCAATTAGAGCCTTTCTTTGTTATTTCCAAGAGTCCGTTAAATATTGCACTCTCAATTTCCAGGTGCTGCTTGAAAACAAACTGCATTAGAAACCAAAATCGCTTTCTGAAAAGGGAACTGCCTTATTTCCACATAGGTCATGCGTGGCTGGGGGGGGTTCCACTGTATGCTACATGTAAACACATGGTGACACCAATACGGAAATAAATCCAGGATGTTTGAGAGCTGTTGACAGGAATTCCTCAGTGACGAAGGGCTATTGACACTATTTTGGATACTTCCCACAGCCTCTCTCTAGTCAGAGGAGAGAAGCTACTGAAGCAACTCAAATTGGAAGCCCACGTAGGTGATAGAGGCAGGCTTCCAGCTGGGAGAGGCCAGGCTCCCACGGAGGGAGATGCTAAGGTGAGTCATTCCAGGAGGTACAGAGGCTTTGACTGCCGCTTTGCTTTTTGTTTCACATTATTAAAACAAATGCTAAATTAGATTTGTCCTTTTTTTTTTTTTTTTTAATGATGTCCTGGTTGCAAAGCTCCTGGTGGCTGCACGGTTGTTGGGGCCCATCCTCCAGTAATCTGACTGAGAAGTTTTGTTCAGGGCATGGCATAGATGACAAATATTTTACCATAACCATGCCCTACTTGTTAGGTATAATTTTTATATAAATCTCATCTCCTTCAAGCAGCAAATGGCTGGTTCTCTACTACTGAAGAGGCTTGAAAAGGTCCTGTATCTAAAATAAAAGTTTGGTTCCCTGTACTCCAATGCTTCTTCTTCTGTGGAGCCAGGATTTTCTCCCAGACACCTTGCCCAGACTGTCTTCCTTTGTTCTTCTGAATGATTCCTCTCTGTTTTTTCCCTTTTATCTCTAAAAAGAGAGGCTGGGCCCTGGTAAGTCTGCAGGTCTCAGAACTGGTTTCACCAACAGTTCCACAAAACAGAGCTCAACAGCATTTTAAAGTTTTTACAGATGTGTTTGGTTATAAAATCAAAACCCACAATGGCCAATGTTGTCCAGGCTGACAGACTCCAAATAAACTATAGGCACTGTAACTCATTGCATCTGCATCCCTTTAGGGTTTCTTCCTTATACCTCTGAGAAGACTCCATCAGATTCTGTTAGAAAAGTAAGTTTTCAGGTCATGATAGAACAATTGCTGAAAAACAATTCAAATACAGGATAGTACTGTTATGCCAAGGAGAAGATTTTTTTTTCCTGTACTGAGGAGCCCTAAAAATCAATACGAAATACTTTACAGTATTGAAGACACTGTTGACTAATGAGTAATTAAGATTTCGTCAAATTAGCAGATGTATAAAGCAAAGAAAATTGTATTATATAACAATATTTTTAAAGTTCCTATTAATGCACTATCAAGACAAGAAAAGTGTATCTGCTGTTATGGAAGTACTAGTTTTATTGCTCTGCCTTCTGTAGTCTAATATAGACACTTTCATATGTTTACAGTTTTGTTTAAGCTACTGTAGGAATGCAGAAGCATGCTATTTAAGTTTTGTATCATCCCGATAAAGTGAATGTTTTGCCAAGCAATTAAAGTAAGTGTTGCTCAGAAGTCTGTGGTGCAATGTTTTCTAGCCAGAGAAAATGGACAAAATGCCCTCACTTGACTCCGAAGGGGAAGCAGAAAATGGGACTTCACCTTCTAAGGTTTTGTGTTTGTGGCTATAAAAGATGGAAACGGTGCCGAGGGGCTGTCCCGAGGGAGGCTGCAGGGAGCCAGCACCGTTTGCTAGCTGATGCACACACCCACCGTTTGGGAAGTTACTGGCACAGGGCTGAGCTGTGCAGCTGATCACACACGGGCTCCTGAGCTTGCACAAGCACGAGGGGAAGAGAAAGGCTCTGCCTGTAGCTCATCTCCTTCACCTGCGAGCTGCACTACCAAGGTAGCCATTGGAGCAATAATTTAAGACAGGAACGTGGCTGCAGGGTACTGATTCCAGAGGTTTTCTGAAGCCAACAAGAGTACTGTAAAATAAAGGGAGGCATTTTTTGCCAATTCCTTTCCACTCCCCTCTGTAGTCCTCTCTCCTTCAAAACTACTCAAGTTGAAGGACTTCTTTACCAAATACCCGTGTTACCTACTGTTCTCTGCAGCACCCACTTGGGAGTAAACTTACTTACCCTAGCAGAGTACACTTGGATTCCTAAAAGCTTCTGGCAGGCAATTTTATCTTGACAAGCCTGCAAAGCAATGGAGATCACAAGCAGCAGTACTCATGAGGTCACTGGCTGTCCAGGGCCCTGCCTGTCAGGAACTATTCCTGGATTATGTAGCCACAACCTAAAATGCACAAACTGGAGTCAGAGGAGTGATGCAGACTCAGGGCTCCGAATGGAAAGCACCCGATGAGGTGGCAGGGGAAAGGCTCCTAATTAAGGAGCAGAAATCAAAGCACTGGCTGAAGGGAAAGGGAAGGCTGCACATGATTACAGCTCCGTTTAGTCAAGATTTCTTTCTAAACAGCATTTTCTGGTAGCGTGCAAAATCAATCCCCAACACACTGATGTTCGGTCGGTGTATTCTACCAGAAAACGCTAACAAAATTCATATTTTTAACAAAATATTTAGACATGCCTATTTTTCACTGATTAGAAGCTCAAAGGCTTCCGTCTACACAAACCTGAACTCTTGAACAGCCCCCAGTGGTTGCCTGAGCCCCATCCTTCAGTGCAACGCTAAATAAACATCATAGGAAAGTATTCCACAGTGGCTTTCAAAAGGAGGCATTCTTTCCTGTTAAGCAGCAGCTTTTTGCAAATGAGATTTGCTGAAGTAGGTAGCTCTGAAGACCCTGCGTTTGGCTCCAGCAAGAAGCACAGCTCCTGCTCCGGAGTGGGGTCTGTCTTCCCCGCTGTAGCCTGGAGGGGGAACACGGTCCTGTCCCGTCCCTTCTGCCAGCGCTGGCTTGGCAAGGGGAGGGGGCTCCCCAGGTGAAACCGTAAGAGCGGAGTGGGAGCAGGAAGGGTGCCTGCATCTCTTGAAGCCACAACCTCGACTGCACACAGGTACTGGATAGTCAGGCATCTTATCTACTGCCATCTGGCTCTTTATGCTGAGAAAATCCCAGACTCACCCAGGCATTTTTAAATTATATGGGGAAAAAAAAAAAAAAATACACTGAAATTCACGGGAAGGTAAGAACAGCTGCAAGCTAACAATTAAAAGTGGACCAATACAACATCTGAAAAAACAGACCACAGTATTTGCAGTTAGTATTTTCTGTCTGCAATTCTACTTTATATTGATTTTTAAACACTTAACTTGAAGGTACTTCCTGTTAACCTGGTAATAACTGTTTCGGGGGCTAAAATCTCTCACATATAAAGACCTCCCCTTTCAAGTTTCATTCAGCTATAACAATAACCGCCCCAAACCTCTGCACACAAAACATTTTCTTAATGGTTTATCATATTTATTTGGTTTGGGCCCGTTTATTTACCCCAAATGCTTTTTTTAATCCCAAATTTTGGTAAAAACCCTTGGCATAGTACAGAAAGAGCTATTACCACTATGAATGTTACCACTTAAGTGTTGCCACAATAGAAAACAGACAAAAATAATCTGGTTTATATTTATTTTCCATTTACTTGGCGTAACATTGCTGTTGCAATTCTTGGTGCTTTCTGCCTTTCCCACAGCACATGCTGTATCATCTATTCAGCTCTTTAAAGTCCCCCGTGTCTGAGTGATTTCCACATGGGAGGGTAACAGAACCGAAAACAGGAAAGGGGAGGTGAAAAAAAACAAACAAAAACCCACTGCAGTAGATTCCACCTTCAAACATTACCAGGTGGTCAGCAAAGGCTGCTATTATAACCACATTCTGGAAAAAACACTACGCTTGTTCACAGCAGACGAAAGTCCAGCTGTCAACAAACTTAAAATCAGGATTTTGCCAGCTTAAGTGTCCTTTGAAGTTCCTGAAGTTGCATGTTACCTTGCGTAATCATCATCCTGATTGCATCCTGTAAAACAAAGTGGAATCTATTGAATTGAACGTCTGTACATAGCACAGGTTCGATACAAGCACACAGGCTTTAACACATTAAAATACAGCCAATTCTTACCAGCACTACTGTCATCTATTTCTTTGCGTGAAGTAACGCTATAGTTACTGAGACAGTTGAAAAACAGGTGAATAAATCAATCAATTTTCTTCAATTTCTTAATGATTTGTTTGCGGGCTGGTTATGGCTTTGCTTTAAAACTCACGTTTTGAATTGGAATCAGAGTCCTAATAATGTTTTCTTTTTGCCTCTGTGTCTACTGCTTTGCAAGTGGCGACAAGTGCACATGGGCATTATGAAGCCAGTTGTTTTACAGAGCAAGTCGACGTTTCTCTCCGTTATTTTTATCTAAGTATAGTAATGCTTTGTCTGCGTAATGCAGCCACCAATTTCTTGAGCACTGGCTAGAAAAAGGAACAAACTAGAAAACAGAGGACAAGAGACATACAAGAACTGTAAAAGCGCCTGCACTTCATACAGGCTTCATAGCCACAACCATAAAATTTGATTGTGTTCAGCTTGAATATAGATGAAATTAAAGATGAAAAAAAGAAGCTATAGAAAGCTTGACCATTAATAAGTTTATGTTAGTTCTTGTGTTACTCAATACAATTTTTCTGATTTGTGGTTTAAGTAAGCAGGATTTGGGGGTTTTTTTAGCTTTTTAATTCTAGATTATTATCTGGACATCAGAGAAACATTACTAATGCTAACAGGGGGGTGGGTGTGTGTGATATTTAGATATGATGAATTACTTCTCCTAAATGCTCTCTGAGAGAAAATAACAGGAGACTTCTCACCAGTCTAAAGGTGACACCTACAAAACAACCCCACCAGGTGAGCACGGTCATCATTTCCCAGGGCAGGCGACCCTCACCTCTTCCGTAGCGTCTTTATTTCTCCTGAATTCTTCCCTGGCCCAGTCCTTTAAATTGCGACGATCTGCTTCTGCGGGGACGTCGCGAATAGCCCGCAGGATCTTCCTGTAGAGCTGCAGAACCTGCTGCCGCCTCAGGAACTGGGAAGGAGAGAGCCCAGTCCGCCCGCCGCCCCAGGACGCGCCGCCGCGAGCCGTACCCCCCGGCGGCTTTTGTTTGCTTTGAGGGGCGTTTAAACGAACACCAAGTTCCCCACCACGTTTTCTAACAGCAGATGCGGTGTTAATATGCCCTCGGATCCCAGCCCGGGACGCTTAATTTCACACAAAGGAACGTGGCGAGCGTGAAAGGCGCTACGGTGCCCGCCCCGTCCCGAGGGCCGAACCGCCCGCCCGCCGCGGCCCACAGCGGGGCCCACAGCGGGGCCCACAGCGGGGCCCACAGCGCGGCCCCCGCCGCCCGGCCGCGTCCCGCCGCCGCCCCTCGCCACCGAGGCCGGGCAGGAGGGCGGCGTTCCCCCGCCATCCAGCCCCGGCGCCGGGATGGCGAAGAGGAAGGGCCTCAGCCGCCCGCCCCGTACCTGCTTCAGGGTGAGGGCGCCGGGCAGGAGGCGGCGGGCGGCCATGACGGCTCGGCGGCGGCTGCCGAGCCCCGCCCCGCGCGGCCCTGCCGCCGCCCTCCCGCCGGCGGCCATTTCCTGCGCCTCGGGGCGGGTGGGGGGGGACACCCACAGCCGCACCCCGCCCCGGGAAGACTGGTTTGAGGCAGCCACCGCTCCCCGCTGCCGGCAAACCGAGAAAAGGTGCCCCAGAAAAACCCCGGAGCTCAACCCAGAGGCAGAGCCCGGGCGGAACCAGCCCCCGCGGCGGTGCCTGAGGGGGGGGCAAGGGGGAGGGTGTATATTCACCACCTACTCCCCCCTTTTATTTCTTCCAAAACCGCAAACAAGCTCTAGCAACAAACCACTACACCTGGCATTTCCCAGAGGGGTTGGTGGAAGGCCTGTGCTTTGAAGATTGATGTAGCTATAAGACTAATGTATTAACCGGGAGGATTACATTAAAACAGAGCAGAAAGATCTAGATGTCATCCGAGTAATTGCAGGACACTGAGCTACCTTTTGCATCTATTTAAACAGTTATAGCCCTGCCCAGACACAGAATGGTTGCTAACAGTGCAAGGCACTGATAAGTTTTTTTTTAGCACAGCTCTCTCAGTGAATATCAAACCCAAATACAATCCTAGAGCTGACGTGCAGAGAAGAAACAACAGTTAATCGATGCCTCTCCCTCCTGTGTTACTCAGTGCTTCCCTGTACCAAATTTGGTGCAAGCCCTTTGTTAACTATAGGGAAAAAACTTGGTTTAGATGTTTGGGCAGTAAGCACTACCTATAAAATTGTATCTCAGGCTGCAACATCTCTGCAACAAAGTATAATTTATGTGGGAAGTTTCCTACTACAAATAATGAGTACAAACCTGAAATTGAAGCACATTCTGGAGAATTACCTAATGAACTAAACCCACCTACCTCCACAGTTAAATTTCCCAAAGCGTATAAGTATTTGTATACATGTATGACAGCGCTACAGAATCCTGGAAGGATAGTTTATAGTACCTGCCATTTCAATTTTGATGAAATAGACTTCCTCTGTTTTCAGTTCTGAAATTTGCTTATCATGAACTAGCTGTGGCAAAGCTACACAAATACAAGAAACAGCCTTGCTGGGCCATTTCACACCTCAGTTTTGCCACTGCTATATCTCAGAACAGCTACACCAATACTTCAAGTAAGGTTTCTCTATCTAGAAGCCAAAGAGAACAATCACATCTTTGGGAAGACATCCATGTTCCAACATTTTCTGATCAACTCCTGCACCACACTTAAAATGAGACACCTTCAATTCTTGTATGCAAAGGAAATCTCCGAAAGAGAGTTTAGACCAGGCACATTTAGAGTTTCCTTCAGATTTTCATTGAGAGAAGTCAAAAGACTGGATCCCAAATCAAAACTCGATGCTGGCATTATCCTCATAAAAGGTGGATAGGTGTTTAAGTTACAGAAACCACAATACATTTTCATACGAAAATATTTGTGCACTGCTAGAGAATGCACAGCATTTCCATGTGGCAAATTGGGTTAATTTATTCAAGCTTTGATCAATTAAAAGAACAGACATAATTACAAACAGTGGTACCTCTTTTTATTAATACAGACAATATAAGATGCATAGCTTTTGCAATGAAAAATCATGTCCATGCTCAAAGACATCGGATTAATGAAACGTCCTCAATGTCTGCCTTGGACAGAGGGGCAAGTTTCACAGTGTAAACTGATACTATAGGGATGATCGTATGGCCTTATTCGTAAAGCTCCCTGTTGATATTGTCGGACAAAAATCAGCAATAATTAAATAGGATGTGTTTAACTGCAGAATAGTTTCAAGTATTCAAGTACTTATTTTTTTGGTTGTTTAAAACCATCTACTTCCCCGCTCCCCTCACTCCTTCCCAAAGAGACAACAGCCCTCACATGAGTGAAGCTAAAGAATGCTTTTTTGCAAGACACCTAAAGTTCTAATGCAGAAACACCTTCCCAGAAGCAAGACTGATTTTTCTTATTGCAATAGACAGTGGCAGGAATAATTTTACCTCTGTGAATATTACAAATACTTTTTTTTTTTTTTGAAAGTAATAAGTTATTACAAGAGAAGTTGAAGAAAGTTTTACGTTATTGGTGGGAACAGGCAATGAAAGAAGATGACAGTCTCACCACTGCACAGTTGTCCTGACAAACGTGGGAAAATGCACCTCAACTGTTTTGTTCTCATGCAGTCTGACTGCCAGAGGGCAGGTCCTGCACATGAATCCTAGTTAGAAAGAGCCCTTATGAACTCTCCGATGAAATGCTGTTTCATGTATGTCAGCGGTTTAGCAGCAATCAGGTACTGACTTTGTCTACAAAGTGTCTGAGGCAGTCACCAGTTCAAACCACTGTCTGAGTGCATCACTGAGAGTTTCTGGAAGCGCGTTCACGTCTCTAAGGATCATGTAGAATGGGAATGGGAATTCTTCCATGTAAGATCTGATTTCAGGCAATTCTCCAGGTCCTTTGAATATAGGTACTTTAATGTCCAAAATGGAATCCTGTAGAAAAGGATTTGTTACTACTACACCACATGCATCTTTCACAGGACTTTGGTATTGTCCTATTTTTCAAATACTTATAATTCCTTCTCTGTTATATTAAAAGTTAGTAGAGAGTTTTAAGACTGAAAGCCACAAGCATTCACTGATAAATCAAATCAAAAGCTAAACACAAAGCAGTTAAATGCTTTTGCCCTTTTAGATAAAAGTGCTCTAATCAACAAATTATAGGCTAGAGGAGACTAAGCTTTGGCTTCTGCAATACCAAGTTCTATAGATAAACCCTGTCCTTCCTTAGTAATTTATGATTTGAGTTTACTGTTATCACTTTAGTTTTATACATTTGATGCTCTCCTGGCACTGTCATGTGTAAGCTCTTTAGGGCTAAGAGTTCGACTTGCACTTGTGCAGTGATCTAATATAACAAGATTCCTTAGCAAATTATTTTATATTTCAACACACACTACAAAGACAAAAATCAGATTAAACTCCAGCTGTGCTTCTTGTAAAGTAGCTTCTTAGTTGCTCAGTGTAGCAGCTTAGAAAATTAATAAAACTTATGAAAAATGCAGTTCACTGCCCAAAATTTTCGCTTGGCATTACAGCTAGGTTTCATCAGAACCTTATAACAGTTTGTCTGCAAGAGAATTGTTAATTTTTCAACAATAAATATAGAAGATGAGTTTTGTATGGAAAAATAAAGATATAGGGAAAAACATGAACTACAAAATACGAGTCTTCACCACATAATTCAAAGAAAGACTTAAGTTTGGGCTCCTGGATATTTCAGCTTCTCAACCAAGGAAATCTAACAGTTTTCTTTCACAGCTACCAAACAAATACGGTACCCTGATTCCCCAATTCAGGTACTAAATAACTCTCATCTGTCTAATATTTAATCTCCTATTTGCTCCAGCTGCCATATCAAATGGAGACTGCTGCCAGAAATTATCAATTTCAATCAAAATTGACAAGAACAAAGAATTTCTCCAACTTTGAATTGTCAACCTGCCAGCTACTTCTCTCGTGGCCAAAAATCTACAACTGTTACATCTGAAGATAGGATCTCTTAAGACTTCCTATGGCACAGAAGACCTTTTTTTTTAAACAAAAGAGGATAAGCATCACAGTACGGAGAAATGAGGAGATCTGACAGATGTTGTGAAAAACTGAAATTGGGCTAAAATATCTTTGACCTCTGCAAAAGATAAGATAGTCTTAAAGCACTACAAAAGACAAGAAAAAGATTTGCATGTTTCTCATCCACTGCACTTGAATACTTCTCTCTCATTCACTTACTTACCCGGGAATTAGGATTGTCCAACACTACAAAAATAACAAAGATATTGGCATTCTGAGCTGCTTGAACTGCTGCGGTCACTCTTTCCTTGCCTTCCAAGAAAAGACCTCTTCCATCAGATACAATCAAAAGCAGCTGCGCTGTTTCTGAGCACAAAGAACATTTTAAATTCCAGTATGTTAGAGTAATCCATTTAAAAGGCAAACAGACTATTTTGTCTTTAGCCCTCTGTGTGTAATGGAAAAACCCTCAAAGTATTCCTAAGGAAATTAAGTCTTAAACAAATAGAATTCTGTGACTTAACATTAAGCTACAGTTCCGAGTGGGTCAAGAAGGAAAGTTTTTCCCACTGTGTGAAACCACTGAGAATAACTGGGTGAAAAAGCCCCAGTCCATTAGTACCATAATCAAGGATGAAAAGCATGGAAAATATCTAATGAACTTAGTCACGGCCTTGTCCTCCATGCCTCGTAAGTGCCCAGGAGTTAAATATTGGCTGAATTGTAAGAGTCCAGCCACTAGATCACTACCTCAGTAAAGCAGCAGCTGCTGCAATGAAAGAGAGTCTAAATTGATTCCTCCAGAAGCAGGCACCTGTGGGTGCATTTCTATTAGCGTTTCACTTTGCACTAAGACTGTGCTTTTGAAACATGTTTCCCTGTTGTCCTCACTTTAACTGGCTTGGCTTCCATCAGAGAGCAATCTTGGACTGCGCAAAATGGGTTGGTTTTGGAGGAAACTAAAGCAGAAGACAGGCTCCAGAGGCACACTCAAGGCAGTCTAACCACTACAAGGCGTTCAGCCCTTGGGACTGGATGAGCTCGTCTGAAGTAAACACCCTGAAAGACTCACAAGCACAGCTGCTGGGTTCCTGGGCACCCACCATTTTCTGTAGACGTGTTACTTGTCCCAAGTTGCCCCCAAAGTCAGAGATACATCCCTCTAAAGGGACATCCTAAGTTGTGTATCTATCATCTTTTAATTACAAGGCAAATCCAGCCAGGAACACAAGCCCCTCTCCTGTCCTGTCCCATCCCTGCCCCCCAGCATTACGGCTAGGGAAGGATGCAGAACACTTCCTCCTCGTCTGCAGACAGGCCCCCAGATGTGACAGGGCTTGGTCTTTTTACAAAAAAGGGTGATGTATCCTACTGCCTTTTTTCTTGCTAGCTCCCTGATTCTGAGGAACTGATTGCTGCTCCCTGATTGCTGCTGCACCCCAGCCTCGTGCAACAGGGCCGGGATGCTGCTCGCCCACAGAATATTCTGACAGCCTGGCCGCCCTGTGTCAAAGCAGCTATGGATTATAAGTCCCAGACTGTCCATTTCTTGGAGTACTTTAACAAGAACTTTTTTAAAATACGGGTGCCACCAT